GCGTGGTGTGGAGTTGAAGACGACGGAGAGCACGACGAAGAGCACGACGAAGACAAAGAGCACGACGAAGACGAAGAACGCAAAGGATAAGGTAGGGTTGGCTAATTTTATCACTCTTTTGGATCGGTTATTACTAATAACCGATTCAAAAGGTATTTAAATCGGTTATCCGTAATAACCGATCCAAAAGATGGTCAGCTTTTAAATCGGTTATCCGTGATAACCGATTCAAATACTTTTTGCATCGGTTATTACGGATAACCGATCCAAAAGCTAAGCGATACGCGAATTTTTTTTTTGCATTTACATCGTTTGTTTAGCTTAACGATGCAAATGAGGCGATTTATTTGGTCATTTTTGTACTAGTGCATTATTCCTGCCAGTAGAGATTACTCTACTACTATTTAGAGAATAAAAAATTTTGAGTACTATATTAGAAAATAACATACTCTGATCCCTCCGTCCCTAAACATATCTCACATTTGCTTTTTCAGTAGTCGCAGGAACTTTTGTTTATTTTTACGTTTCCATTAGTTATTTATAAAATATTTTTGACACCTCTTATTTCGAATAATTTTTCATGTAATTTTTTGATAGGTACATTTTATCTTTTATTTCTGTATTAATATATAAATAAAATAAATTGAAAGAATTAGATATTTTACCTCAATAATATAAATGTGAGATATATTTAGAGACGGAGGGAGTATGTTTTAGTACTCTGTACTACTTAGTGCAAATTTGACATATTTATGTTCAAAACTTAGTTATTTTGAATCGGGTTTCAGATTTAAAATACTCCGTATACTTGATCAGATTTTTGCTCGTAAAGGCCATCATGGCCGTGGTTAGTTTTACTTCTTTCAATTAATCAAAATAGAGTAATTTCATGGTAGATATAAGATCCACAAAGACTTTTTCACATATTTTTTAAAATTTCAAAAATGTTTATTTCAATACTTAAAAATGCTTATTTGATACATATGAAAATCCTCCATAAACTTTAGGGGCATGTAATAACTTACCATCGAAATAATACTCAATTTCTAGACCACAATTTTTTTTTCATGCCTCCTTTCAAGGCCGATAATACATACGGAGTATTTTTCTACTCAAATATTATGAGTAATTTTATTTTAGAAATTGATTGCCACGCTGGCAAACGGCTTCCGATCAGTTTAGTTGGTTATCATCGTCATCATCATCTTCTCCCGCCATCCCCAACCATTTATAAACCCCGAAATCCCAATTCTCAATCGTCTCAACCCGTTCCACTGAAACTCCACCAATTCAAGAACTGAACTTCCAATCAAGAATCGCCCAACTCAAAAATGGTGCTGCGTGTCACCATCTCCGACGCTCCCCATCTGAAAGAAGCCATCCAAGCGGTCCCCATGCCGGAATCCAAGAACGTCGTGGTGATCTGGTGCCCGGAATACTTCGCCGTCCTGTCCGCCCTTCAGCACCCCCCTCGCCCCGCCGGGGAAAACCCCACCACCCTCCTCAAGCTCCTCCCTCAGAGCTTCCTCACCTACGAATGCACCGACCACCTCTTCAACGCCGTCCTCAGAATCGACGATCTTGAGCACCTCTTCTCCTCCGCCAGGAATCTGGACGCCGTCGTCTTCTCACAGTCTCGCGAGGTCTGCAATGGACTCAACGATTTGGGGTTCTTGCTCGCCCAATTCCAGAGGCCTCTCGGTGAGTAGTAGTCCATTTCCATTTTTTTTATTAATTACCCAATTCCTAGATCATTCTTAATCAATCTGATCTTGAATAAAAATCGAGTCTTGAAAGAAAAACCGAGTCTTGATTTTACCAAGAATGCCATGCCCTGTTTTCCCATGCATGTATTCTTCAATACAGTCAAATATTCAAATTACAGTATTAAAAGAAGAGGAATTTACACATGTTAAGGCTTCTTGAATACCCCCACTTTTCTGAAAGAAGAAAAGAAGAGGAAATAGAAGAAGAAGAAGAAGAAGATGATTACTAGATCATCATTAATTATGTGTTATTCTGATATGCCCCTGTTCTTGTTTTGATCTGGTGCTCTGTTTTTCAGTGCAAGATAGTGCGGGAGGAGATCAGCCCAGTAGCGAGGAAGTCAACAGCAGCAGGATGGCAATGCAAATCTATGGAAAGTTCACAGAGGGCGAAGTGAAACTTGCAGGCGCATGTCATGATCCATCTCAGAATCCCCTGCCTCCCGTCGCCACCTTCCTCCCCCCTGCTTTCGGCCGCGTCATGTCTGCTCTGAAAGCCAAAGGAATGCCGGCGGTTGCGATAGTGGTGCACAAGAAGGAGGCGTTCTTCTTGGCGGCGGAGGGAGAAGTGCGGTTTGAGCTGTCGCTGACGGCGGAGAACGGGCTGAAATGGACAAGGGGGGACGTGGGGAGAAGCCCGGTCCGGTTCGAGTTTCCTATGGCGAACCTGGACGTGGAACCCGGCTCGAAGCTGTCGGCGGAGGTTTCACTGTACAAGCGGTCGGAGAAGGTGAGGCTGATCTGGTTCAAGCTTAACACAGACGTCACTTTTCTCAGGGGTGACATCATCCACTACTTCCACTGAATTTGAATTGATTGCTCTCTACATACATACATAGTTACATACATTACATATATACATATAGAAGCAAAGTGATATAAACTTTGTTAATACTCCTCCGTCCGGATTTTAAGTTCTCGGTTTGACTTTTGCTCATTTTTAATATGTGTTGACTCTGAATGTAGTTTATCTAAAATACCCTTGGTACCCAATGCCTGATTTGAAGGCTTGCAACTGCCCAGCCTCCAATTCCCGATTGGGCCACGACCACACCATGGCCACCCCAACTCCCACAACCACCAACCCACCACCGCTCCCACCGCCGCAGCCTATAGTCACCGTCGGTCCACCATCTCCGGACGTAGGGAGTAATAGTTTCCCATTATTATTAGACTGATTGTTGTACATATAGTAGTACCTCAAATGTTGTGGATGAATTCATTTGCACCGCAACTACTATACACATTTCCTATTACATTCTCTCTTTTTTAAAAAAAATATGCATTCCAAAAATTATCTACACGAATAATTTTTGAAAATTGATTTCTTTAATGAAATAAAAAGCACAAAAGATGTGTCCAAGCTTGATACCGAGAGTAAAACAAGGAGTAATTTAGTTAAATAGCACTAAAACGAACATAATGATTTTCCCTAAATAGCACTACATGTATTTTTTTCTAATGTAGCACTTTTAGTCATTATGCATTAGTCACTATTCAAGCAAATCTACGCCATGACTGGATATTATGGACATTATTAAGTACTATTTAGGGAATAAAATAGTTTAAATGCTATTTAGGGAAATGATTTTAGTTTTAGTGCTATTTAGTGCAAATATTTCTAAAACAAATCTCATATTCATCAAATAAAGTGAAGAATAAATTTGTAAATAATTTGATCACGAAAAAACCAATAGTATAACGAATCACGTATAAACGCTTTCACTTAATAATGTCCATAAAGTCAATGTCAATTTTATTTTAGTATATTATTGTATTATTCTCATTCTAATTCTTATTGTTATAAATTATTACTATTATTATTATCATCATCATCATCATCATCATCATCACCACCACCATCATCATCATCATCATTATCATTATCATCATTACGTTATCTCAATGAATGCCTTTAAGATAAAAAAAAGTGTTGATATTTTTCACGAAAAAAAACTACTTTTGCAAAAAAAAATAATTATGATATAACTTAGCATAAATATAAAAATGTTAAATTCTAAAAAGTTATTGTGGCTACATTGCACCTTAATTTATTTATGCAGTATTTATTATAAAATAATATATTTGTAATTATATTTTTATATATTACAAGATTTTGTTTTTAATATCAGACATGTCACATAATGTAATCGAACCTATTTTTTCTTTCATGATTGTCAAATATTTTCATTGTAACTCCTACTTTTGGAATAAAGACATTGAAATTTTATTTTTGAAGATTTTTTTATGTTTTAATCCTATTTTAGTCTTTTTTCTAAACTATTTTGACTTTCAAATTTTTTTTATATAAAACAAAAAAAAGAAAATTAATTAAATTTTGAAATAAATAAAAATGAGAAAAAATTTAGTAATAAAAGGAAAGGTGAGGGTCATATAATTAAGGAAAAATTATCCAAAATAATCCCAACTTTACCCGATTTTTCAAAAATAATCCCACGTTTCACTGTGATGCATAATAATCCCAACTTTACTCAAATTTGCCAATTTTGGGTCGCCGTTAAGTTTCTAACAGAGGGTTAACAGAAATGCTCGTTTTAGACAACAAAATAAAAGTTGGGATTATTTTTGATGAATTTTCATTTTTTAATTTTTTTAAATTTTTCATTTAAATTTTTTAAATTACTTTTTACCTCCATCATCATTTCTTTTTACTTTTTTAAAGATTAGTCTTAGTTTATAAAATAAAAATAATAGATATAAAAAATGAAAAAAATGAGAAATGTAACTAAAATGATACAAAAATAATAAAATAAATAAGGTAATCAATGGAAACTAACTTGAAATTGGTAAAAGTAAAATAAAAATATACGGGTGGGTTTTAATATTTTACGCATTATACAAAGTATTAACATATCACTACTTATTTTTGAGAAAAAATTATCTACAGTAATTTCAACTTTACCGGACGGCTTGTTCTTTTAAAAAATAAGTAGTATATTAAGATTCCGTATAGTGTGTAAAATGTTAAAATCCACCACTCCGTATACATTTATTTTATTTCTTACCAGTTTCTGTTTAATTTCTATTGATTACATTATTTATTTGATTAATTTTGCATTGTTTTAGTTATTTTTCTCATTGTCATTATTTTATATATCTATTTTTATCTAAGGTAAGAATAATCTTTAAAAAAGAAAAAGAAATGGAGGTTGAAAGTAATTCAAAAAATTTAAATAAAAATTTCAAAAAAAATTAAAAAACAAAAATTTATCAAAAATAATCCCAACTTTCATTTTGTTGTCTAAAACGGACATTTCCGTTAACCCTCCGTTAGAAACTTAACGGCGACCCAAAATTGGCAAATTTCAATAAAGTTGGGATTATTATACATCACAGTGAAAGGTGAGATTATTTTTGAAAGACCGTGTAAAGTTGAGATTATTTTGGGTAATTTTTCCTATAATTAAACATGCATATGTAAGAAATTAAACTTTAAATCCACAGAAGCTTTATTAATTAGTATGCCTCTGAAAGTAACAACAAAGATGCATTATATATAGAAACATCCATTTTAATTACTTTTACTAGCTTAGTCTTCTTCAGCTAATTACATCATGATCTTTGTCTCCAGGCCCAGAATTCCTTAGCTCTCTGGTTAACACACCAAGTGAGACAATTTGAAGTATTTGTCCCTATTTAGTTAAATGCATGGCTCGTGAGGATGAAAATACTGGGCAAAAGACTTGGATTTTTCCAACGTGATAGATGCTGATACATTTGTAAATTTCATCAAGGATGCCCGCATTTTATTAGCTACACCATCTTCCCTTCAGGGCATCTATACTGTTAGTGAAAAAGATAAGGGAAATCTACATTTTGTAAATTTGCAATACCAAGGTTCATTACTACAACTAGCGATGCGTGTGAATGATTTATTTCTCATCGGGTTTAAATGCGAAAAAGGCTGGCTCGAGCTAAAAGAAAAAGGTCATACGCCCGAGACAAAGAACTCAATAAAAAATGGAGAAATTATTGACGTGTACATGGACTACACTGAGTTGAGAAGGTTATCTCCAAAAACTTTGCTTGGGGGTCCTGAGTATATAACCCGGGCGATGAATGTGTTGCGGAAAGTTAACCCAAATCAGATAGGTACACTAAAAGAAGAGATTGCGCAGGAGTTATTGACAATAATAACTACATTTCTTGAAAGCTTAAGATTTAACCATATTCTAGAGTATGTAGCCGGACACTTTAGCCCTGGACGTTCCATTGCCTCGGCTCCAGAGTGGATTCTTAAGCTAGTCAGGGACTGGGGAAAATTGTCTCACTTGGTGTTAAAGTACAAAGATTCAATGGAAAAAGAAGTGATCACAGAGTTGGTAACAAGTAACGTCTCAGTATATGACAATCAACAGAAAAGGGAAATAAATTTGATGAGGGCGGATGAAGTAAGATCAGCAATGGGCATTATTAAAATCAAGAGAGAGGATGATACCGAGGGATTTGAAAAGGGTAAAAGTTCAACTAGAAGAAGCGGACAATAAATAAGAAGGTACATTTTTTTAAAATCAATATTTGTTAGAATATGTTTTAGGGTTTGCTAGTTTTCATATTCTCGTTAAAGTAGAAATAGAATTATGGTAGGAATAGAACTTACTTATTTGTGTTACTTTCTTCTTATATAAAGAGAGTTCAATCTTTGTAATCTACAAAACAATTTAATATAGAATTATTCTCCATTATTGTTTTCTACATGGTATCGGAGCAAAATCTTGGAAAGCCTAAAACCTAGTTTGTTGTAGTATTCCCGGCGACGGCGGCGTCACTACCTTTTCCTGTACCCATTGTCCAAACTTCAACATCGTTCTCTCAATAGCTTAATTTTACTCGTCCAGCCACAAATTTTAAAAAAAATTGGTCATAACAATATCTTGCTTGATTTTTGTTCAACATCGTTCAACAAATTGGGCACCGCCAGTCTCAGTCGTCGTCTCCGAACAGCCATCGTGCAGACACCGGAGGTCGGATCTTCTCGTAGTGTGTAGATCTAAGTTCTCCAAAGTCCTCCAATCTGCCGCTCCACCCAAGAATTGTTCGACCAAAGTCTTGGATTGATCAATTCCACACCAGGAAGTTTCCGATCGCAGTAACCTTCGTCTTGATCGCAGGTCTTCTACCTATCTCGTCCAATCGCAAAAGCCTTCGTCCAATCGCAGAAGGCCATTCGTAACACAGCACGCCGTTCGCCTTCGTCTCTGTCAGCCAAGCTCATCAAGGCACCAGTGTTTGTTTTCCGGTAAATAGTCCAAAGTCGCCGGTGGACTCGAGTTACTCAACGAGCCAGTCCAGCCGTAAGAGATCTTCATCAATTTTACATCAATTAGGCGAGTTGACAAGTTCACGACTCTCAATTTGGTGAGCTCAGGTCCAGCAAGTTCTCTGCTACCAGTTTCTCTGCTACCACGTTCAGGAACTCCCAATCATCATGGGACTCTCTTGCATTCTTCTAAAATTAGGTGGAGCCCAGATCTAAGAAATTTTAAACCTAGACTCGTAAAGGGTATTGTTGTTATCAGCATCACCATCAGTTTTCATCACCAAAGTGCGATCGATTCCATTTTTAGTTTCTCAACCATGAGTTTTGAATCAATTTGAAGTTAAATCTTTAGCCCGACAGCCGCCAATTGTCCTGGTTTGGCCAGGGTACATTGGTGTTCGTCCAATGCTGGCAGTCTCATTCGTCCAGCAACTTCTCCACCTATTCGTCCGTCTTTCCCTTATTGTTGGACCGTCATCAAATACCCATCATCAACAACAGCTGTGGTGCGGTGGTGCGGTGGTGCGGTGGCATCCTTCGTCTATTCTCTTTGCCTAAAATCGTCCGTCGTCAAAAGTTAGTTCCGTCAATTCTGTTTTATTGTATGCAATCTGGGCATCATTATTGTCCAGTGCGATCAACGTCCCTAAAATTTGGACATCGTTATCGTCCAGTCCGATCTACGTCCAAGAAAAAATCTGGGCATCGTTCTCGTCCAGCATTTGGTTGTTTGACTTGTTTGCTATGTAACAGTCGCAACCAGTCGTACGTACGGCATGTCAGTTTGTGGGGGTCGGTCGTCGATCCTCAATCTGACAACAATTTGTCCGTTCGTTTGTCATCCCGCGTGGGAATCATTCGTCATCAAATTTCGCTTGTTCGTTTGCATAACAAATCAAAGTTTTGTCCAAATTATTTATCGAGTTGTTCTATTTTGTATTTCTAGTTTTATTGTTCAAGTTGTTCATTCGTGATCCTTATTCTCAACTTGAGAGAGAGTGTTAGAATATGTTTTAGGGTTTGCTAGTTTTCCTATTCTTGTTAAAGTAAGAATAGAATTATGGTAAGAATAGAACTTACTTATTTGTGTTACTCTCTTCTTATATAAAGAGAGTTCAATCTTTGTAATCTACAAAACAATTTAATATAGAATTATTCTCCATTATTGTTTTCTACAATATTCTATCGATTTTAGATACATACTTTGATCATTTGTCCTTTCTTTGATAATTATCATCATCATCATCATAACCATTACAAATAATGTATCCTATAATGGTCACTAACTATAACAGTGCCACAAAAGTCTGCTGGATAGCTTAAGAGTGAAAGCCATACAACAAGTTAATGGAGTGGTTTTGATGACTGCAATTAAGAAGATTAATGGAAAGAATTTTTGGTTCGCCTTATCTAGCTGTTGTCATTTGTTGGCCATTATTGCTGGGATCGGAAGACAACCAGGCATCACTTTGGAGATATATAAGTACTGCATTTAGTTAGTTAGTTTAATACTCCATAGTTTGTACTTAGCTAGTTTTCTGGACTTGTAGTTGAATTGGTATTGGTTCTCCTAGTTAGAATGAGAAGAATATAAAGATCAGAGTATATGATGGCTTACTAGAACCTACACATTGAAGTCCCTAGCTAGTGTAGTATAGCTACCAGGCAACATTATATTGGTTTCTTTTCTCAAATCTGAATCCTTAATACATTCATCGTTTGTTATAGTGCATGTCACAACGTCTTCAAGGCAACTCAAGTTCATTAATGGCTTTTACAGTAGATAAAAGGAATTGGACTTTACTTTTTCATATAAAATTATAAGGTCTTCAACAAGTATCACTACGTTACAGTCACAGATTAAAAATGTCTGGCCAAATATATCCTAAAAACACCAACTAAACCGATAAAAAGCTCGGCCCAACATCAGAGTCAGGCTAGGGATTCTGCTCTTCCCTAGCCACGAAGTCTATACCACCCAATTTCAAAGACTTGCCAGACCATGCAACTACCAACCTTGTAATCCGCTTTGGGATCATGCCAGGTACAACAGAGCTAAGGTTCAGCTTCTCCTCAAAATAAGACTTGTTGCTATCGACCTGAAAGGACAAAATGAAAAAGGACCTACAATTATAAAAGCTTCAGGGGGTGAAAAGAAGTAACTTTTTTTTCAAGGAAGAACCAGGAACTTGTTAGTTCTTGATCTAGTTAAACATCACAGTAAATGATACTTCATATGATATAAACCACATTCACCAAAGTTCATACAATGTGAATGTCTAACATACCTCTTCACATATATGATTGTAATCTTGGTTAGGATCATCTCGATATCTAATAGCCAACGCTTCTTTCAACCCCTAGATATTTCATTGGAAAGTTTTAATCAAGTACTGGTGATAGATATTGATGCAGAAAAGAAAGAAAGAAATTGATCCAGTCAATGGTAATAATGAAGTCCTTTTTGGTTCATAGACATGGAATATTTCATTGAAACAAGTACAAGGACATGCACACCGGCATACCCCTACCCCTTCCCTCATATTAAGCACGCCCTATGTTTCTACACAACCAAAAGGCAAAAGAACATTGAAATGACAGGATAAATAAAAATGCACTGAACTAGAACAAAACAAAAGGGACACTACCTCAATGTCGGGAGAGACATCAATATTAGGAATATCATGATACACCATCCTCACTGGAGGTTCGTTGTTAGGTTTGTGAAGTTTCTGCAGTTCTTTATTAACTGCTTCAGACACCTTATTGTAACAATCTTTATCGCTCCAGTACCCGAACACAACAGTCAGGACTCCTCTTTAGGGGAAAAGTCATAAAAGTCATAAAACTACTATTAATAAAGGAATTGAATGCTTCAACCCAGCGAAACACAAATAAAATACTCCGTAATACGAAGTAATTTGAAGCCATGTCCAAAAACATGTGTAGTTCTAAAGTTCAATCAAGAAAATACTCTCCCACTTCGAGGCCACAGTCACAATAAAATTGTACTCAGTATATAATTTGAAATTTCAATGTTTCATCCATCACAGGTCAAAGAGAAGTATTCACATTTTAAATAGTCTAAATAATGATTTCGATCAAAATAACACACTAGGAGTACTTCTGTGAAGTTTTGGGTACTAGATGCATCAAGGAGTCTAACCAAAAAAGTGTCTCTACTTTTCCAATGGAGTTGGAGATTATATAGGCCTTGTAGTTGGGGTCTTACCATTATGATCACGTGCATACACAGATCCGGATGGATAAATTACAAGTTTTTCCAAGCATAAAAAATATGTTGAAACATAACCATGAAGTTTCAAAGTGTACTTTCTTTGCATTTAAGTATCATGTTGCAAAACTACTCTCAGCCCGTCATTAATGTTTTCATTTGCTTTTCTGAAAAACGATAAAAAAAAGTTGAGACAGAGATGTTGAGATTTATACATAGGGGAGATCAAAGTACACGTCTCTTTTCGGAAACTGAGAACATTATTTAGTGACAACTTAAAAGGGGAAAGTGGTGTGATGAAAAAGGCAGAGAGAGTAATACATTCATAAGAAAAAAATAAAATCAAATAAATAGAGTAAATCATAAGCATATCACCTAATAATGGCATTGGTTTGAGTCTCTTGCAAAATGCTTGGGAACAACATGTCCCTCTTGAGAGCTTCCATTTGTTCTTTGCCTTCTGTGTTAAAGTTAGGCTCTAACTCAACAAGCAAGTGCGGATCCTAAAAAAATTACAAGAGCAAAAAAAGTATGAGAATAAGAGATAAATAACTACTAGATGTGATATAGTTCATCATACAAGGAAAATTGTCTTACAGAAAAAAAGAATACCTCCATATATGTCTCAACACACGCTTGAACAAACACATCACTCTCAAAAAGCTTTTTCACTCCGGCAACAATACTTGATACTTGTTCACCATCTTCAACAGCATTCCTAAGGGATTGAAAAAGCTCTTTTGCAAGCTGCTTGAGTTCAAAATCAGTTTCTACCTTCCTAGACAAGACTTCAACAAATTGTCGCTGCACAAACACCCCAAATCACCTAAAAATATCCAACCAAACAAATGATGTGTGTGTGTATTCCTAAAGCCTAAACGTGCACATGGTTTTTACTAAACAAACAAAATGAAAATTACATTCAATATAAAGTGAATCCAAGATATGTCTCCTAAAGAAAAGTTTGAGTCTTCTGAAGTATATGGGGAATCTGGCACCATCTCTTCATCTTCATTGTCATTATCCTCATCTGATGTCTCCTCCTTATTGCTGACTTCTCTTCTCTTTGGGTTTGCAGTTAAGCCATCAGAACTTATTTTTCTCTTGTGATCAAGACTCATACAAATATCCTCTACAGGAAACCCCAACAGTTAATATTTTAGCAATAAACAAAGAAAAAGAAAGCAATTACATTTAGGCTCTGTTTAGTACTTGGAATTAAAATTCCATGGAATTGAACAAAATTGAAATTCAAGTCTCCAATTTCAATTCCAGTTCATATTTTTGGCTATCAATTCCAAATCCACAACAAAATTGAAATTCAAGTCTCCAATTTCAATCCCTGTACTAAACGGACGAGATTTTGATTTTATGCAAATGCATCTGATGAATAAATACTGGTTTCAGACTTGATGCATATGTAGAGTGTAATATAATGGAATTAACCTTCTAAAAAAACAAAACAAAACAAAATGTGAGTTACCTGGCATTTCTCTTCCAGAACGTGGTGCGAAGCCGATGAAATGGCAGAAGGGTAGAGCGGTAAAGGAGGTGTTTTCTGAATGAATTTTATTGTTGGAGTGAGAGAGACACAATCTCGGTACATATATCAGGTGCCCCTTTGAAGGGAATTGAAGTCAATTAGGGTATGCATTTAGGGAGCATTAAAATAAAGAAATACGATTTCATGCCGTATATACATAGCATGCCTGGTTAGTTTAATTAGGTCACGTTCGGGTTTGATTATGGCCGTAATGGCAGGGGAATTAATAGAATTTGAAGAGGGAACAAAGGGGATTGTGTTATATAATGAGAGAAAAACTATTCAGAGATTAGGAAGATAAATATGATATATTTCTGATTTCTTCTCTCTATTGATTCTTCACTCTTTTTATTGTTCTTAATTGTGATTACAATGCAGGGATTAGACCTCTATTTATAGTGGAGAGCCTTAGTATGGATACAAATACAAATGGGAAGTACTGTACATAATTGATACTCATCAATGGTTGTCTTAATCTACTATTCTAGAAAATAGGCCTGATTAATTGAATAAATGAACACTCATTAATTTCATAACACTCTCCCTTGAATGTTCATTTTCAATTAATGACGGGTACTTCGTGAAATGGGTATAGTTTACGAACCCATTCTAATTTTATGTACTGCCTCGTTAAAAACCTTGTCAGAAAAAACCTAGTGGGATAAAAACCTGATCAAGGGAAAAAGAGTACAGTTCATAAAATTCTCCCCTTCAGCTTAGCATAATTGACGGAGGCGACGCATGCCAATCTTGTGTACGAGTTCTTCAAATTTCTTCGGGGGTAACGCTTTTGTAAATAAATCAGCGAGATTCTCACTGGACTTGATTTGCTTGATGTCAACTTTTCCATCTTTCTCGAGATCATGTGTTGAGAAGAACTTTGGTGATATATGCTTTGTTCGGTCTCCTTTGATGTAACCTCCTTTCACTTGAGCAATGCATGCAGTATTGTCTTCATATATAGGAGTCGGATGACTAGTAATTGTTTCTATACCGCACCCACTCTGGATATGTTGGATCATTGATCGCAACCATACACATTCTCTACCTGTTTCGTAGAGAGCTATCAACTCCGCGTGATTTGATGATGTGGCAGTCAAAGTTTGTTTCATCGATCTCCATGATATTGCGGTATCTCCATAAGTAAACACATATCCTGTTTGAGATTTT